TCCAGCATTCCAATTTTTCGTAGCATACATCTGAGCTGGCCAATCCCTTATCCTATACTGCAGGCTGTCATGATCAATTGTCCGAGGACATTGATAACATTTCATCAATTCAGAACACCAGATTAACTCGGTTAGAGATTGATGTGACGGTTCCTTTGTGAGGTGTCAAAGCGCCGGGCTGATCCGGAGATTTGCCGAATATGACAAATCCGGATTGGTGATTCTGACTGTTGATCCCTTCTTTATTTTCTGAAAAGGATGAGGCCCCTGATCCAGGGACTCCAGGCAACCCAATTTAGGGTAGATTAAACCAGCAACTCAAGGCCCAATATGGATAAATTCAGGATGGTGGAGAATCGGTACCTTCGGTCCCAGCCGACGGGATATCACGAATAGCCCTGACTTACAAGGGCGACGAATAGGCAACACCGGAGAATAAACGGTAAAACCTTTTATTTAGCTAGTGAACTTTACCAAAGTGACCATGTAGCTTGGTTCCAATCATGCTCGATGTACCGAAGGATCACGATATCCACTGGTTCAAGCAGGGACCGAGTTCCCTCAGAGTGAGACAAGCATGAGACAAAGCGTCGGATATGGGCCAGGGGATCCGGCAGATGAGCACCTATTATCCCGAGCGCTTTAGGGATTGTTGGACGAAAAGATGAGTAGAGGACTGATAGTGGGGCCGAGCCTTACCGGATCTTGGCCTGAACCCTAAGGGCCCATGGGTCCGCTATGCCTTAAATGCCTTCTAGGGCTGCGATCCGTCGTCAGAGGTTGATGATACTGATAATAGCACGGTGGAACAGTTTCACAGTGGAGATTCCAGTTCCACCAATGATGGGGCCATTTCGGCATCCTGGAAAACAGGCCCACGCTGCCGCCAAGCTCAAGATCCGAAGCTTAAGTATGGAGAACCATGAGGTATAAAAACTCTCGTTGTTCAGGGCTTTCAGGGAATTCCTCATCTTCAAATCACTGCTTTCATTCCTTTGCTTTCCTTTTTTTCTGTTGAACAGGCCCCATACATTCATTTATTCATTCCTGTACGTTCTGTTGACCAGAACCCATTCATTCGCTATGCATTTCCAAGCTCTCGGTCTCGTCGCCCTTGGCGCTCTCGCTGTTGCTGCCCCAGCCCCTTCTCGTACTTCTGAATTGGTTGAGAGGGGTTCCTCTTGCACCTTCACCTCTGCTGAGCAGGCTTCTGCTAGCGCCAAGAGCTGCTCCAACATCGTCCTCAAGAACATCGCTGTCCCCGCTGGAAAGACTCTTGACTTGTCCAAGGCCAAGGACGGTGCCACTGTATGTTCAAGGAATATTCCGCTGAGTGCATGATAGACTAGCTAATTCGACCCGCCTTCTAGATCACCTTCGAGGGCACTACCACCTTCGGCTACAAGGAGTGGAAGGGACCCCTGATCCGCTTCGGTGGTAAGGACATCACCATCACCCAGGCCTCCGGCGCTGTCATTGACGGCCAGGGCTCCCGCTGGTGGGATGGCAAGGGCACCAACGGTGGAAAGACCAAGCCCAAGTTCATCTACGCCCACAAGCTCCAGTCCTCGACCATCAAGGGCTTGCACGTCAAGAACTCCCCCGTCCAGGTCTTCAGTGTCCAGGGCAACGACGTCCACCTGACCGACATCACCATCGACAACTCCGAGGGTGACAGCAAGGGAGGCCACAACACCGACGCTTTCGACGTCAGCGAGAGCAACGGTGTCTACATCACTGGTGCCAACGTCAAGAACCAGGATGACTGCCTGGCCATCAACTCTGGCGAGGTGAGTAGATCAGCCACGCGGATCACACTTCTGGCACCGGGATACTGACGTGACCTAGAACATCGAATTCACCGGCGCTACCTGCTCCGGCGGCCATGGTATCTCCATCGGCTCCATCGGTGGCCGCGACAACAACGTCGTCAAGAACGTCAAGATTGCCGACTCCACCGTCGTTGACTCCGACAATGGTATCCGCATCAAGACCATCTCCGGTGCTACTGGCTCCGTCAGCGGTGTGACCTACGACAACATCACCCTCAAGAACATCAAGAAGAAGGGTATCGTCATCCAGCAGGACTACAAGAACGGCGGCCCCACCGGCAAGCCCACCACCGGTGTCCCCATCACTGACCTCACTGTCAACGGTGTCACTGGCTCTGTTGACAGCAAGGCCACCCCCGTCTATATCCTCTGTGGCAAGGGTAGCTGCTCTGACTGGACCTGGAAGGGCGTCAGCCTGTCCGGTGGCAAGAAGTCCAGCGAGTGCCAGAACGTTCCTTCCGGCGCTTCTTGCTAAGCGTATCGTGCTTGACCTCGGCTTGGGCTCTGGTGTATAGATCGCCGGGGCGCAGGCTTGGACTCTCAATAATTTTACTTGATGTAGTATAGATACATATGTCTTCTAATATAAGCATCAGCTTCTTGCTGAGTGCACATATTTTTCTAGAGATGTTTCCTTCCGTTGTTCATATTATTTTCTCGTAGCACGTATGCTTCAAGGAAAATATATAACAAAAAGCAGAGTTCAGGGAGCATACCGAGCACGCCAATCTATCCCTTGCCTGAGAGCAATACTCGCCCATGGAGCCGAAATGTTTTCGAGATTGTGGTGAAAGTAACTGGTATCCCTTGCAACACCCTCCATCGAAGGTGCAAAGGTCCAAATATGTCGGAATCCGCTTACTACGAGTGTATCTGTACTCATTCGAACGCTTCTATGATCGGTCCAGAATATATTCCCGACACAGCGATTAGCAGAAGCGTCTTTTACTGGTCGAAAGATATCCTCTGCGTATCGGAATTATTGTCAATAGGGTCAATGCAAGGCTCAAGAAAAGCGGTTCATTTATTGAGTGGAAAGGAAAGCTATATTGGTTGTTATTCTGAAGAAGAGAATGCGCTAGCCCCAATTTCGGGGTCTCGTCGATACACAGCCGAGCTTTGGGTTAGTGAGCCTGGTGGAGTTGTGTCCTGAGGTATTCTTATTGGATAGTGGCGACTGGTCTAACCTCAAGCTCGGGGAATGTCTTGGCATATCGCATGTTTCTTTCTATACGATCGATGATAAAAAGGGACAGGACAACCCATGCGCGACGAAATTCGTTTACTCGCTGTATTGACTCGGAGGAATATCTAGCCTTCGTCATATCCCATCATGTCCGACGAGGAAAAGAACAAACAGGCTGTAGGTGCTATCTGACCCCGTGGTTGATGTCGGCTCATGGCAAGGTATGTAGGAACCGGCAGCCAGTCGGGAGGCTTATCCGGTGATGGACTTGGGGAATGGAATAGTGGGATGGGAAAGTCAAGAAGATCCCTTAAACCCCAGGTAAGGTCCTAACATCAGAACAACGAAGAAAATGGGACTCACGCCAGAACGAAAGAAACTACCCGCCATCTCGCAAATGGTTTCAGTTAGCGACAGTTAGCATTATCACATTCATCAGGTAAGAAAACGAGACAGTTGCAACCATCAAGGACGTTGGCATTGACCAACAGCTTGTAGCCCATTTGCATCGTCAGTATTCGCACCTGGTGTCAGCCTTGCCGAGCAAGAATTTGGGGAAACATCCTCCATACGCGGCTCTTTTGCAGTGACAGCGTATCTTTTCGGCTATTTTGTGCGTTTAAGTACCCAGTAGCTAAGGCTACAGTGGTCGGCTAACAGCTTCATCATGTCAGAGCGGCCCCTTAGTTCTATCTCCACTCAGTGAGATATGCGGTCGTCGAATCACATTGAACGCGGCCACGACGATCTTTGTGCTATTTCAAATCGGCTGCGCCCTTGCTCCCAATCTCTCGGCTTTGATTGTCTTTCGTTTCTTGACTGGCTTTGGAGGGTCCGGCTGTCTGACAATTGGGGGCGGTGTTGTTGCCGACCTTTTCGAGGCAGAGCAACGTGGACTGGCCTTGTCTGTTTTCTCGTTCGGGCCACTATTTGCGCCAGTGATAGGACCAATATGCGGAGGGTTCATTGCACAACGCGCCGGGTGGCGGTGGAGTTTTTGGGTGTTGGTCATCGTGGGAGGTACATTGACCGGTATAGTCATGGTAACCAACAGAGAGACCAACCCGACGGTGCTCATACGGCGAAAGACAGTAGCCCTGCGCAAGGAGCTGAGCCGCCCCGAACTTTGCAGCTCTTATGAGAAAGAGGGCGAGGCACGCGGACTAGCGACTCTCCTGATGAAAACATCCACCAGGGTAATCAAGCTGTTGGTAACCTCGCCCATCGTACTGATGATGGCTCTTTATATTGCGTCAGTTTATGGCTGTCTCTATCTTCTCTTCACCACAATCACCTCAGTCTTCCAGGACCAGTACGGCTGGAGTGTAGAAACCAGTGGCCTTGCATATATCGGACTGGGGCTAGGCTTTTTCGCAGGCCAGGTGGTATTCGCTCTCACAAGCGACCGGACTCTCGTCCGGCTGAAACGACGTAATAATAACATCGTGGAACCTGAGATGCGTCTTCCGCTGTGCTTGCCATTTGCGCTCTTCGTGCCAATCTCCTTCTTCTGGTATGGCTGGTCTGTTCAGGAGAAGACACATTGGATCGTTCCTATTATCGGACTCTTCCCCTTCGCCTTCGGTAATATCGGCATCTTTGGGACACTGCAGGCATACATCGTTGACTCCTATCCTCGCTATGCGGCATCCGGAATCGGGGCAATGACAGTTACTCGGTCCCTGTTCGGTGCACTATTGCCCTTAGCAGGACCACCCATGTATGAAAAGCTTGGATACGGTTGGGGAAATTCGCTTCTGGGATTTGTGACACTGGCGATGATTTCGCTGCCTATCCTTTTTAGCAGATTCGGTGCGTCTCTCCGACAGAGGTTCCCGGTCGATCTAGAATAATGTAATTGGCCAACCAGGACGGGCTTCGGTGAATAGAATGTTTAATAAGTACAGATTCAGCATGAGTTTGGCAGATGTACCTCAAACGTACACAGGGGGCGCAGCTAGGTATTGATATTCCCGGGGGCTTTATAGCAACCCCTCTGAAGTGAACAGGTCGCCGATCATATCACTAAAGTCGATTGGCCCAGTACCGTCAATCATATGTCCATAGTCGTCCCCGCTAATCCCGTAATCTTGTACGTATGTGGAATGTAGGGGACTGGGTTCCATGATCCCACTGCTAACAAACGGCGTATTGTCCATACCCGATGGTATCGGAAAAGGCGTAGAGGTACTTGACCGTTGAGCTGCAGTAAGCACCGGAAGGCCTTGACTTATGCTTCCAGCAGTTTGAAGAGGTCCCTGCGGAAGGCTATTTGCTGACTGTATTTCAGTCGCTGCCGGAACTGGCACCGTGTTACTTTGTCTCCCAGCTGGTGATATTTCCTGGTAATCCGATACAATGGTCCTTGATACATGGCCAAACGTTTTCTCAGCCAGAGCGGTGGTATATGAGTCAGACACGCTTGGGGACGGACCAGGCAAAACATTCTGTAGAGACAGATCGCTTGTTCCAGCAGGCAAAATTGTTGTTGTCAAAAGCTACACAGCCGTTCAGTATCATACTCTGCATATAGGACTAATTGCATGATACATACCTTTACCGCAAAGCTTGTCCTCTTCGCGAGCGTTGAATATGGCTCCAAAAGAGTCATGAGATCCCGGGCAGTGCGCAGCTCTGCTAGAGCCATTTCCTCGACTGAGGAACCCTTCCTCGCCAAGACTATATAAAGCATAGTCAAGGAGGCGGCCAGGATCATATTCGAAATATCCCAGTGTACTCCGCGAAAAAGCCCTTTGTGATACATATCCTGTGCAAGGCGAATGATGTTGCGACTGGCATCTACACAGGCGGAAGCATACGCAGGGAAGCCATCCGTCGGTCCGACCTCGTCGGTCGAATAAGTACCAAGGTAATGCAGGAAAGGTCGGTACAAATAAATCTGAGCATGTGCGTATGACATGCATAGCTCGTATTGTGCACTGCACCATGTCAGATCAGAACAAAAGGCCGGGAAAAGTCACTGTACTTGGCTTACCGTTCGATGTGCAGTGGATGCTTCTCCTGACCGAGTCGTAGGCTTGCAGGAAGTGAGGCCAGCCAGGACCGCAGCTCGCTTTCTAGTTCGCGGACAGTCTCTTTACTGACTAGATGGCGCAACGGCCCCTGGCTGTGCGTTTTCTTGACGCCTTTTAATGGGTATAGTCGCTTAGTTATATGGCCGAGGACGTTATGGAGTCGGAAACATGCGACGCTGGCAATGGTTGGGTTCCATTGCACCCCGGTATGTGGCCTGTCGGCACGCGCCTCCATGGCACGCATTATACTGTCGCACGATACACTCGGGTACTCAAGATCAAGATCGTCGCACCCCATGGGCATAGGCAGCCCACCCGTAATGGAGACACATGCCAGAAGGTGACGTGTCGTCCAGAAAATGTGCTTTTTTTCTTCCCGCGTAAATGCATCATCCGTCTCAGTGACTTGATGATATTTCATCCGTAGCGCCAGGGAAAACGTGTACGAGAGAGCTGAGAAGCTTGAGCTTACTCGGGCAGTGTATAGTAGAAATATATTCATGTAGAGAATGGCCTGGAGAGTGACCAAGTCGTTGCAGCCTTGCAGATCAGCCAAGCTGCGGCAGGTTTCAAAATATTGAGTTCTGTCGCTGTCAGTTCTCCAGCTGCTCAGACGTGAATCCTGTAACCACGCACCCTTCCAAGATGAATGTTTCCCGAGATCCCTCCTCATCCATTTCAAACAGACATCCCAAAGCCATAAGGGAAAATAACAGTGCAAGATATCGATATTCCTCGGTAGCATAGTCCTTGACGTTCAAGGTAAATAGTAGGGCAAAAGCGGAATGGAAAGTCGGACGGTGTACGAAATTGTGTAAGAAGTGCGCATCGAAAGCGAGATCGACTAAATAGCGGGCTCTGTCTCGCGATGGCAGCGATATGGCCTGGCCCGGGCCATTTGACAATGGGAAAAACTTCGGTGCTGGCACATCCCTTGCTCGCACTCGGTTTTCGGCATCTGCTCCAGGCCAGTTCCCTAGCTCATCTTTTAAGCGCCTTACAAAGTCCATGTGCGCCGCAGAGTGCAAAAAGCGTGCCTCGCCTTGGTTTTCAAGAGCCGAGGGGAGTCTGACGTCGGGAACACGACCACTGGTGCCTGAAACAGGATTGTCATTGAGATTACCTTGGGTAGAATGCACGATATCTGTAGATCCGATGGGGGGCGTTACGGTCGTCAGCGCAGCTCGCTGTTGACACGACTCTTCGACTGCCTTCAACCGCTTCTCAAGATGTTCTATCCGGTCAGGCTGAACCGGGCTCCTCTTCCTGCGCCGTGGGTGTGAGAATACACAATCTTATCTAATCAGCAGCGCCCATCAGTAGGGAGAGGGTACGAGGATGTACCATTGAAAGAGTCACGGCAATGGCTACAGGGGTACGTCCTGTCACATTTGATTTTCATCCTCCGGCACACGTCGCAGGCCTGGTTTCGTCGGGGCTCTGCTGGGCCATCAATAGTTGTCAACAGGCTGGAGGTGCCATTCGGGTCACGAGCAGCATCAACATTGATGCCATTTCCAGAGACCTGAAATTGCTGTAGCATCGGGTTCATCATACATCAGAAGTATGTAGGAGAGTTGGATGCTGCAGTCAAGAGACACAAATGTATGTATGTAAGCACGTGCACGGATCAGCACAGAAATAGGCTAAACTTCTTTGGGATGATCGAGATCATCCCTACCCTAAAGACAACTTCTTGACTCCAACAATACTCACCATCAGGAATTTGTCAGCCTATAACTTTTTGGGAGATTCTTTATATAGCCTCAAGGCCACCATCAAGATCGGCATTGTGCAACTTTCTTTTCCCTACTTGCCTAAATTGCCGGTTGACACGCTTCCTGTCTCGAGATAATCACTTCCTGAGTTACTAGTGCCTTTGGGCCAGCTCTGTGAGATTTCAGCACTATCTCTTGTTTAACTCTGATTAGTCTACAGTTGATTCTCCACTTCAGTGCTTCAGCAGTGACAGGATCAATGATCTGTTACCAATATTCTGTATGTCAACACTTCCGGTGCCGGGAATGACATGATCTTGTGAATAGCTAACTAGGGAAAGCTATTTAAAGAGTGTTCTTGGATGTTTACGAAAGTTGGGTCTTTTGAGTCCGCCTCCCAGATTTCAGTGGTGTCTCTTATAATTTATTCTACAGTAACCATATATCGTGTCCACTAGTAAAAATGATAAACGAGACTACCAACTGGATGCGTACTAACCCGGCCCTTGGGGCCATTTTGTGGATCAAGGACTTATTTACGTTGAGTCATAATATATTACATTAGTTGATTAACTAGTCAGTTCATTACTTACAGTCTTGCACAAGCTTTCCTTAGATCTCCAGCCGATCATGCTCGTTATAGTAAAACCGTAGTATTCAAAATCATATTTATCTTCGTCTTTTCTTCCCAGGGGCCCACCCGATTTAGGGGATTCATGTACGTCCATGCATGGCCTGAAACAACCCCGTGCCGTGATTTGTCACTTATTCTATGACTCATTACAAAGTGATATGAATCCGTTGAAATACCCTAACACTACTGTGTCTACAATTGCCCACGCTTCGAAGTCTTCATCCACACACCTGACCCAGCGGACGGCAACACCATGACACCCAAATGGCAAACCATACGCCTCCTCCACGGAATCCGAGCCATAGTTGGCGGTCAAGGTCCCCCTGTGATTCTCGTTCCAGGCTGGCCACAAACAGCAGAGGCGTTTAGCGATATCTTCGAGCCTCTTTCAAAACACTATCAGTTTTTCGCTCTCGACCCCCCGGGCTTGGGTGAATCACTTCCTCCCCTTAATGGCTTTGATACTTCCAACGTGAGCAAAATCATGGCCGAAGCTGTTCACGACACCTTGAAAGAAAAACAGTACCATCTAGTTGGCCACGATGTGGGTGGATGGATTGCTTATCCTTGGGCGGCTCAATTTCAATCGAGACTCAAATCGCTCAGTATATTGGACGCGTCAGTGCCGGGCTTCATGCCCCAGCTTCAGTTTCCGTTGTCTCGCCAGACCAACATGCGTCTGTGGCAATTCTCATTCAACGCGCTTCCTGAATTACCTGAAATTCTTACTCACGGTCGTGAACGGGAGCTACTGACCTGGTTCTTTAATTTGAAGACGGCGAATGCGGATGGTTTACCAAAAGACCAATTTGAACGTTATATCCAAGCCTATTCGAGACCAGGGGCGATGAGTAGAGGATTCGAGTATTATCGAGCTTTTGAAACAAGTGCAAAGCAGAATCTGGAATATGCAAAGACACCACTCGATATCCCTGTCTTAGCTTTGGGTGGCGCCAGCTCCGTTGGTTCAGGTATGATTCACTTGGTCCAAAACTTCGCGAGCAATGTTTCTGGGGGCGCTATTGATGATTGTGGGCACTTTCTCCCCGAAGAGCAACCGTCTGCTGTTGCACAGAAACTACTGGAGTTTTTGCAGGCAAACCAAATAGAGTGAAACTCCCTGCCTGTACACAAGCTAGCCATGCCATATATTTTGACGGCAAGGAGTGGTCAAGTAGTGCTAGCCATGAGCGCAAGAATTCTTATATTTGGAATTTTGCCCAAGGCGACACTGCAACAATATGACTATTTTTTGTGTAATTTAGATATATCATATAAGTAGTTTATTCTTATTACAGCTATCTGTTTCTCAGTTGTAAGGCCCGACCTGACACCGTCCTTGTATTTCCTTGACAGAAGGACAGGAGTAGGCTACTGTTATGCTTTCTTCTTCTCTTCTTATTCAGAATAGTAAAAACACTTGCAAATTATATTTGTTGTAACACGATGACCAAAAGCTATATATGAAAGTAGATCGAGCTTATACCCAGAAAATGTAGTTGGCGATAAGCTTTGTGCAATTCCATGGCGTTTATTCGTGACTCCACTTATTCCAAGGACTATCAGATACTTGCCAACTTCATGAGAGACATGACAACAACCCAGTAAAGAGAGCAAGCAGTCTTGCGGAAGACAAAAAGTTGCTCGATATTCGAAATTGGAGGAAACAACCTGCTGAAGAGGTAGAATTAGGCAATTCTATTGCAACAACGCCGAACATCGGGGAGGAACTAAATGATATACGACCCACCCTCTCCTCATTTCCCCAGGCCCCTCTCATTTCCCCTCCATTCTTCGCCATATAATTGTTTTTCTTTTCACACAAAGGAAGAAGTACGAAAGACAAAATGGAACCCCTCTCGCCGCCCCCAGCCCTAACACATCTGTTCACTCTCCGGTGTGCCGTGGACCCTCCAATCGAGATCGGCAATGGACCGTACGGTCGACGTCGCTGCGTACCCATTAAATCCGGTACTGTGCGAGGGAAGTACCTGAATGGGGAGGTGGTTCCCGGTGGAGCGGACTTCATGTACGGAGCAGGATTGCCTTTCGTTCATCAGAGCATGGGATACTGATACATGAGATGTAGGTTGGTTGAGGCGGATCAAACAACACATGTGAACACGAACTATGTCCTGAAAAGTGATGATGGAGCTTATATTTACATCCGGTTAGCTCTCATTTCGCGCATTGGAATGGCCTATACTAATCTTTGGTGGCTGACATTGTATAGGACGGAAGGAACTCGCTCTGGGCCTCCCGAGGTCTTGAAAGCCTTGATGGAAGGAGACGGAGTGGATCCCAACCAGTACTGGTTTCATTTGCATATCAAGCTTGAGACCGGCCATGAAAAGTACAGATGGATGAACAACCGGGTGATTGTGGGACGGGCGACCAGAGCCAAGGGCGAGGTTGCATATGATGCGTATTTCTTGGAGAATATTGTTTGATGTACTGGTTCTATTCAAAAATCTATTAAGTGTTCTAGTGCATACTCTCGGATGACGGCAGACATTATACAATGCGTCCGTCAGACCGAATTTATTATTACTGTGCCGCGCGATTGCGCAGAAATTCGGCCAGGTTTACGTACTCCCCTTTGCTCGCATTCTGTTGCGCGAGCACTTCATCTACAATCTCGTTGACCCACCGGATCTCGGTATGACACGGGCGCAACTCGGCTAGTCGCTGGCGGAGCCATTCAAGCTGCGCAGGATCGTCTGTTTCGAGTGCCGCCACCATGATTGGCCAGTGCAGGCGACGTAAGAGTCGTGCCTCAGACGCGTATTGTTTGTGCACAATCTCGAGGATGTTGCTCAATGCGTGCCGGTGAAGTGTCCGCGGAGGCTGAGACGGGCAGAGTAAGCGCCGATGGAAAAGAATCTGCGCGTAAAAAGTGCTAACAGCCATATTGATTGTGTTTAAAGTGCGTCGCATGGAGGCCGGGCCTGCGAATTTGGCTGTGATGAACAGATCGGAGAATTTCTGCAACTGTTAGGATTGGTTCCGTGCCGGACAGGGATGGGACATACATCTCTGACGGCCATTATTTCGTTAAAGAACGACTCCACCTGGTAGCCAGAATCAGGAACGTTGTCGAATAGCAATTGCCAGGTTCGATTCCGTAGTGCCATGCCCGCATGTAATAGCTCCAAAGCCCGGTAATTCTCCATGTCATCCGATACTTCTTGGTCTGGGTATTGCTTTCCCCAAAAGCATCGACCCCACACGCGGGCGCAGCGATATAGTCGGTCCGGATGTAAAGCTGGGTTTCCGGACTGAAGGACGTAGTCGTAGAGTGATTCGGTCAACCCCATGGGCTGACAGCTCGCGTCGATATACCTGCGGCAAACATTAGACCGGCTTCAAAGAAAGGCCAGGGGACCTACAGAATCCATAATAATAGTTGCTCGGGAATAAATGACACCCGAGATTCCGACTCGTTCGAGTCCTCGGATTCCATCGACAGCAGCACATTATTCACATCCTTGATCTGAAACAACTCTGGGTGAGATTCCAGTAACGACTTCACCCCTTGTAAATGTAGTTGCAGATGTCTTGCGCAATGGCCATACTGCCATTCGTATGTCACCATCAGAAACATGGTCGCAAAAGTCGCCTCCAGCTCGGCGGGCGAGACCTGTCGCGGGGACACCAAAGTCTGGCGGAATTCCTTCACGGCCAACCCGTAGTGATAACGACCGTGATCCTCTGCCGTGGGCCGGCCAGGCGTGCGCACCATCAGACCGTTGCGGTGCATGTCACTCGCTGATAAGGCGAGAATCATCCGCATGATTATCTTGTTTGTGGCTGCCGGCCCTTGGTACAGATAACAGAAACTGCTCCATTGCCACGATTTCATGTAATAGAAGACAAGTGATGACGACGGGAAATATTGGAAGTATTTGTGATCATGTTCGGAAAGCACCAACGAGTTGGCACACGCGAAATCGGTTCCAGATAGCGGTGGATAAAGCGGCGGGGGCGGGGGGAAAGGCGGCACACCGAGCCAGCCTGGAGATGAAATCGATCCGATGGGGATCCCCGGGAGGTCAGGGATAGTGTCTATGGGGTACCATAACGTGGCAGGAGAAGTCACGGAGGATGGTTGAGGGATCTCGATCGTTGAAGTGGCGAATGCAGCGGCGGCAGCGACATCACGACTCGGCCATCGAGGCTGAAGATGTCGCGCCGGAGTGACGGACTTGCCTCGTTTCACTGGCACTCCCCACTCACAGCTGAGTCGTAAGTTGGAGCAACGTTTACAGACAGGGCGCTCTTCGCCGCATTTCACTTTTCGACGGCGGCAGGTACTGCAGCCTGGGCGAAGTCGCGGTTAGTTTGCGTGTTGAACCGGGAAGCCGAACATTCCATAGCACGCTCCGGAAATGGGTACATGCACGGAGGTATGAAATACCTTTCTTTGAGCGAGGGGCGTTCCGACCCGACATGGATTGAAGAGCCCACGCTACAAAAAGAAGCAATCAGCCGGGAGGCATTAGCAACGAGTGGATGCCAAGGAGTAGGGCAACCGGGAAACCATCTGAAGGTTGTCGGGAAAAGTGACGATAGAGAAGGAAAAGCGGTGCCGGAAAATGGAGGAGATCTGATAATGCTTAGTCAGCGACTCTTCGGTCCCAAAGAGAGACCAAACTATGTCGAGTTCTTCTCTGAGATCTCTATTTACTTCCGTAGGAAATGTCTTCGTCCGTGTTTGGCGCTTGTGCATGTATATGGACAGCGTGGTACACTCGTACTATTCTCCGCGTGAGCCCTACAGTCTACTATGCCCCCTGCCAGTAATATTTCGCACCGTATCAGCAGCATATCGAACTGCTCAGTAGACAAATTTCCTGCCCAATGTTTCTTGACATTATTGGATAGTAATAAGTATTTTAGGAGAATATGAAATGGTTGTGAGCCGGTCTGCTAAACTTGCCCTTCTAAAGCAGCTCATTCTATAAAAACCCTACCCTAATTCTGTCAAGTTCTACACCCGTTGTTGATATGGAGAACACGCAATTGAGAATAATCTTGTTTGAAATAAAACGATTATTTATGCCAATCCTACCTAGACAATTACAATCAGCCGTAAATCATGATGCTCCCCTCACTCATGTCACCTAAATTCCCCCAACACAGGTGATACTCGTCTACTAAAAGCATCCACCCATTTTATTCCTGGATACACTTCTGCCATTGTGCCTTGGCCTGCTCGAATAGAGCTTTGTCCGTGACCATTTCCCATCCGATCATGGCCAACGATTTTCCCACAACCACTGCCTCAATATGAGCTTCATCAGTGCCAGCCGCTGCTTCAAACGACGGATGGTGAGGGAATGATCCGTCCGGTCCTGGTATACCGAACATGGTATGGAGGGTGGGCATAATATAACTGACATTGCCTGTCGTGGTGGTTAGTGATGGACATAACCGAGAAAGGGTGAAATGTAGAATACCAATATCGGAGGACCCAGTTAAGACTTTGTCATGACTCTTTAGGACATTTCGATCGTAGCTCCCCATGTGGGCCTGATAACGTTCGCACAAGGTGTCGTTTATCTTAATGTCAGTGTACAGCTCATCTCTATTGCATATGTCAGCTCAGATCCGGAGAAATACTTGGGACATGGCGTACGCACTCTAAGATTTTAACTTCACATCCCGTCGCCAATGCACCTGCCTCAATACAGTTGCGCACCTTGATCATCAACCGATTCAAGCCTTTCAGTGTCGGGCTGCGAACCTGCCAATATGCCTTCGTATACGATGGGATAACGTTGGCTACCTTAGGGGTATCCAAGAACGCACAATGGACACGTTCCTCTGGTTGAAGCTGTTGCCGTAGGACAGCAACATTATTGTAAGAGGTTACCAGAGCATCGAGCGCATTGACGCCTTCCCATGGATTGCCTCCCGCGTGAGCACTCTTTCCAGTAAATTCACAGTGAATCTGTTTGCGGGCATTCATCAAGACGCCACCCACGCCAGTGGCTTCAACACCGGGAAAGAGCTTCTCGGGACCGGCATGCCTACACGGAGTCAGTATGCTATGATGGTCGAGAGTCAGAGTGCATACGCCATCAAGGAGATGTCAACACCCTTGTAAGCCCCGGCATCGATCAATTTAGCCTTCCCACCGCCATTCTCCTCGGCCGGTGTGCCCAATAGCTGAGTACGACCAGGGATCCCATACTGCTTCAGAAGAGCAGATAGTGCCAAGAAAGCAGCGACACTACTAGTTGTGATAAGGTTATGGCCACAGGCGTGGCCTATGCCGGGCAGTGCGTCATATTCAGCGTTGAAATTGATCAACCGTCCCCCAGACCCACTGATGGCTTCAAAAGATGTGTCTAGTCCATATGCGTGGCGAGTCACAGTAAAGCCTTGTGCTTCAAGGAAGTTGCAAATCGCGTCGTGAGCTTTGAATTCTTGGTATGCCGTTTCCGGATTGGACCAGATCTACGCAATCAGCGATTGTGAATAAATGGCGCCGGGACCAAAAAATATACCTCTCGGTTTAGTTCTCTCAAGGTTGTCTGTAACGACTCTAAGGCCGCATCAACGGATGCCTTAATATCCGCAATAGTAGGCTTAGTTTGCAAGATTGTCATGATGGTAGTTTGTGATGTCTGGGTAGCTGTCAGTTGCTCAACGCTAGTTAGCGAAGGTCATTATAAATAGGCTCGTCTACAACACCCTCGGTAGTATGGGCTATGGTTCCAGTTGCATTCAGGAAAAGAATGAGTCGGGTTGTCGCCTCAGAAGACCCTTTGATAGGATAAACCGCCGAGGTGATTGCCTATCATGCTGCACGTCGGCTGCACCCCACATGTTGGGCATGCTATCATTATCTTCATCTGGTAAGAATAGGCAGGCTATCAACAGGGAAGACAGGATGACTAACGGTATGATGCATGATACTACAGTATCTGTCAAACACAAGTGACTATTATCTTCGTTATCACTGGCCCCTCGGCAGATTACAGCCAGTCCCTGCTCCAATTTGCCGAAGCCAAGAGTGGAGATGTGGATATCAAACAGCCCCAGTCCTCGTGTGAGCCACCTCAGGTTTCCAGATTGCATGCTCTCCGCACGATCGAATTTGCGGGGTAGCTGTAGGAAGGCCTGTGAGATGCCAATTGAAGTAGTCAAGATCCACACGATAAGGAAACGCGTTGATAACCTTTGCAGGTTTAGGTTGGACATTTGCCGAGCTCGGGGCGGACATTGGTGGATTTGCCGACGAAGCCCTACTTTCATATTTATCCAGTGGCGCGGCTGTTCCATGGGGCGAATCGTTACACTTTTACCGGCCATTAAGTGGGTTCGCGGTGGATTTAAACCTCCAGGATTGCATATGGACCCACGGTACTGGGTGCCACGCTCAGGGCGTCATTTCCGCAGTGTATCCTATCTCTCTAGTTCACTATCTTGAAGAGCTGACTCAATGAATACCTGTCTATCCGGTGAAAGTACCAAATGCTTGGATGTTTTAAGTCTGATTAGCATGGCCTAGGTGCGGAATTAGTGTGCGATCTTCCGCTGTATCAATTCCCGAAAATTGATACCGATGCCCTGCATATCTGTCATAAAAGGACTCCTGGCTCGAGAGGGTATTTTTTTTTCGTTTCACTAACCTCAAGAACTTGAAGAGCCAGATACCATGGAAAAGCAACAGGAGGTCCCCCCCGGGACAACACCCGAGATAGATGACCTGAAGCTTGGGCCTGAGACGTCAGTTGCCAAAGATGTCGACCTAGGACAGATGCTGGGGATGGATATCACCCCACAACAGGAGAGAAAAGTGCTGCTCAAGCTAGACTTGATGTAAGTATATCAGTGTTTGATTATACAAATTTGGAAACTTATACAATTAGATTGATCCCCTTAATGGGTATTTGCTATATGATGCAGTATATGGACAAATTGGCTTTGAGTCAAGCAACTATGTTCAACTTAAGACAAGACTTAGTATGAGCCATCAGTCATCATGTCTAAATCATGGTGCTAACATTGACAGAATCTACAAGGAACACAGTACTCTTGGTCCTCCGCGGTCTTCTATTTCGGATATTTCGCGTGGAGTTGGTATGAATGTTCGCCACGCCAACACACCCACACAGATCACTGACTAGCGATTAGGCCCAGCTCCTACCTTATTGTCCGACTTCCCATAGCCAAATATCTTAGCGCCTCGGTGTTCGTCTCTCCATCTACACTCACAACCGTCCCCTGCTAATAGCTCACAGGCTGGTCTGGGGAGGAGTTCTTATGTGCCACGCCGCGGCCAAAAGCTTTGGCGGTTTAATGGCGGCGCGCTTCTTTTTGGGCGTTGGAGAAGCTGCTATCGCCCCTGGGTTTGCTTTAATTATTGGAATGTACTATAAGCGAGAGGAACAGCCTGCACGGTAAGCACATTGGGCTTCGGTATTTGGTGTTGTCCATCTAACTCTCTTATAGACAAGCTGCATGGTTTTTTGGCAACTGTGTTTCGACCGTCATCGGCGGTGTCGTTGCTTATGGAATTGGCACGATCAAGGTTAATGCCATTTCGAGTTGGCAGCTTCTCTTCCTCTTCTTAGGTGCCATCACTGCCGCCATATCGGTCTTCCTCGTTATCCTCCTACCCGATTCCCCCCAGAAAGCGATATTCTTAACCAAAACCGAGCGTACGATCGCTGTGCAGCGGACTCTCAAGAACAAGACTGGTGTAATGGATGGTGGAGAGTTCAAATGGAACCAGGCTTGGCTTGCCATTCGTGATCCACAAACATGGTTTCTTGTCTTGTACACATTCTCCGTCAATCTGTGCAACGGAGGTATCACTAGTGTATGTCACTCAAGCTTTCGAGATTCTCCGAGTCCTCACTGACGAAACAGTTCTCTTCAATCATTATCAGCGGCTTCGGCTTCTCACAGATCAAGTCTCTTCTGATGCAGATGCCTCTTGGTGCCGCCCAAATCGTCTTCTTGGTCATCACTGCCGGCGTCGCCACCGTCATTCCTAATACTCGAATTCTCATGATGATCTTCAATACAACTATGTCTTTGGTTGGCATGGTCCTAGTCTGGAAGTTGGATGAGGATAACCAAAAAGGTCGATTGACTGGGTTGGCCCTGGGGGCCGTCTTTGCGGTTAACATTCCCCTGGCGCTTAGCATCATCAGTTCCAACGTGGCTGGGTTCACTAAGCGAAGCACGACGAGTGCCTTGATGTTTGCAGCCTACTGCGTAGGAAACATTATTGGGCCCCAGTTCTTCCTTGCTTCTGAGGAGCCTCATTATCCTGTGAGTTTTGTATCTCAAAAGAACACGTGAACAAATGCTAACTAGTTCCTAGACCGGTATGAAGGGTGCTATTTCTGGTCTCGCACTGGGGGCTTTTTTCCTGATCTGCCTGTTCGTTTACTATATCGTGGAGAATAAACGTCGCGACTCGGCGTATGGTCCTCCAACCCAGTTAACGGAGGAAGAGGAGCGGATGCAAGGGCTATCAAACAAGACGGACCTTGAAATTGAAAGCTTCCGTTATGTCATATAATGACTTACTAGATTTTACATAATTAAACTGTTCAACAGTGCTTAAGATGGCCCCTCAGCTCGCTGAGTACTAACTTCTTTAACCCTAGCAGGGGCAGTGGGCTCATTAAGGAACGCGATGCAAGAGTGCGGCTGAAGACGACGGGGATGGCCCTTGTATTTCTTGCAGGTTGCTAATGCAATGTAACCCCTGTCCAGGCCAATACAGTATACTGTTTCTGCATGCCAACGGAGCCGTGCATACCTCCCTTACCTCGGTTATGCAGCATAGCTGCACTGATAGCGCGCTCAGCTCCGGATTGGTTCACATGCAGCTCGATGTCGCATCCGATGATCTGTTCGATATGATAAGAAAACTCAATCAAATGTGTCATCATGAAGATTCTTATCAATACGTTAAGTATCTATGGGAGATTATATGAATCTTTCAAGCTCCTCCGTCGACTTCCGCGCTCCTGTCGCAGCCTAGCGACGTTCATCGAGCGCGACAAAATGTCTGTTCAAGCTGGCTGGGAGGCCTGTTCGAAAACAGACACTCTCTTCATTTTAGTATGTAGTGTTTTCTGTTGGCTGATTATCCCGGCAGTGGGCCTCGCATACTCGGGCTATTCGACACGGTTCAATAGCCTGGCTTCATTCTACCCAGGCCTCCTAGCAGTAGCTGTCTGTTCTATCCAATGGTGGATGCTCGGATACTCACTGGCCTACGGCGAGGGCAACAGTGTATTCGGCGGCTTCAGTAAAATCTTCCATATCGGCGTCCTCGCTGACCCGGTCGGATCGATCCCAGAGATCCTGTTCTCTGAATTCCAACTGATCTTCTGTGCGACTGTCTGCGCAATTGCCATCGGCGGAGCCTGCGAGCGCGGAAGGCTTCTTCCACTAATTCCATTCATCTTCGTACGTATCTCTTCTACCATAAACCGAAACCACCCAGGACAACTAACTCGACTCCAGCTCTGGTGCACCTTCGTCTACACGCCGTTAGCCCACATGGTCTGGGCAGAGAACGGCTTCCTGGCTAATCTCGGCGCCCTGGACTTCGCCGGCGGCACGCCCGTCCACATTTGCAGCGGTGCAACAGCAACAGCCATGAGCTTATATCTCTCCTACCCTCTCTTCCGCTCCAAACGATCCCCGATCCGTACACCCCAGCACCTCGTCCTTCACAAACCCCACAACACCCTCTGCCAGCTGCTCGCCCTCATCATCATCTGGAACGCCTGGCTCGCCTTCGACGCCGGCACCACCCTGGCCCTCAACTTCAAATCGGTCATGGCCGCCTGCGTGACCAACCTCTGCGCCGCCTCGGGTGCCCTCACCTGGGCTAGCCTCACCTACTACGAAACCGGGAAATGGAGCCTAGACAGCACCTTTCTCGGCGCGATCGCGGGGCTTGTCCTCATCACACCCAGCGCAGGGTTCATTGACATGACCACAGCCTTCGGGTTCGGGGTTCTCGGCGCCTGTCTCGGCCGGCAGGCACTGCGCCTCAAGTTCACGAAGCGGGCTGCGCGGTGGCGGTGGGTCGATAACGGGGATACGTTTGCGACGCATTGTCTCGGCGGGTTTCTGGGAACCATTGTGACGGGGCTATTTGCCAGACGGGAGGTTGCGGCCTATGACGGGTCGACGGTTATTAAAGGAGGTGTAGTGTTTGACGGGCATTGGGGACAGCTCTGGATCCAGATTGTAGAGGCTGTTATAGGGTTTGTGTGGAGCTTTGGTTGGAGTTATACGCTGTATGCTCTGGTGGATTGTGTTCCTGGGTTTGAGGTGTTGGGGACGGATGAGTAAGTTCTCTCTTGTTTCGCTTCGGGCTCTTGGGGGGGGAGGAGGTGCTAATGGGTTCATAGGGATGTCATTGCGGGAATGGAGCGTCGCAGATGGGGGAGTCGTTACATGATGCGCAGTGGGAGGGAGAGGAGGACTATCATCCTTTTGAGGGGATTCGGGTTTAGCAGTGGATATGGCCTGACTGTAGAAGGGTGTTTTTTTTATTTATTTATTTATCCGTGTTTTTGTCTATCCTAGCCTTTTTATGTATATATGGACATATATCCATGAAGCACCCTAGTTGAACACCACAGTCTTGTGTCCGTTGAGCAACACCCTCCGCTCGGAGAAGTACTTCACGGCGGAGGCCAGCACGTTGCTCTCCACGTTGCTTCCAGCGTGGGTCAGCTCCTTGGGGCTCATGCCGTGGTTGACCCGCACAACGTTCTGCTCGATGATCGGGCCCTCGTCAAGATCGCTGGTGACGAAGTGCGCGGTGGCACCGATGATCTTGACACCGCGGTCGTAGGCCTGGTGGTAGGGCTTGGCGCCCTTGAACGAAGGCAAGAAGCTGTGGTGGATGTTGATGATGCGGCCGGACATAGCCTCGCACAGGGTGGGGGAGAGGACCTGCATGTAGCGGGCCAAGACAACCAGATCGATGTTGTGCTCCTTGATGAGCTCCAGGATGCGGGCCTCCTGCTGCGGCTTGGTATCCTTGTTGACGGGCAGGTGGACGAAGGGGATGTTGTAGGTGGCCGCGAGGGTGGAAAAGTCCGGGTGGTTCGAGACGATCAGGGGGATATCGATGGCGAGCTGGCCGGTCGAGTTACGGAAGAGGAGGTCGTTGAGGCAGTGGCCAATCTTGGAGACCATGATCAGGACGCGGGGCTTCTGGGTGGCGGGGACGAGCTGGAAGTCCATGGAGAGGGACTTGGCCGTGGGCTCGAAGGCCTCGCGCAGCTCGTCGATACTCTTCTCGGTGGCATTCTCGTCGGCGGAGAAATGCGTGCGCATGAAGAATCGGTGCGATGTCGGATCGCCGAATTGCGATGAGTCAATGATGTTCAGGTTGTGCTGGACCAGGAACGCGGTCACGGCGTGCACGATACCCGGGCGATCGGGGCAGGAGAGGGTGAGGATAAAGTCAGTCATTCTGATGTTGAATCGAGGATTCCCGTGTTGAATTAGGGGGTCGATGGTAATGCGCTGGACTGTAGAAGGAATCCTGCACCTTGCGTGCCGATCGCGAGATTTTGTGACGAATGCGGCGCTGACTAAGGCGGGGCTGATTGATAAGATTAGGGTTCAAATCGGAGGGGCAGCCGTTTGGCCGGTGGGTGCTCTACCACCACGTGCACCTGAAGATAGTAGCTAGAAAGCTGCATTAACTGATGGGAGGTGGCAGTGTCATCGCCATGCTGATTCTCGTGAATGCTATCAACGGCCTCCCCAAGCTGAATGACTGCTGGATCCATGTAGGAGGTGAAACAACAGAGTTCCAGTGATGGCCTGAAGAAGGACCTTTCCTGTTGCTGACTAAACCGCGCAGTACTTGCAAAAGTTAACTACTAGTCATGAACAATCAAAATAATTACAAAGCCATAGCTTCAGACTTCTATGTAAAGATAAGTAGTCGTTGTATTGATTCGGGCAGTGTACCGGCGGTATACTATATAGATGCGATCCAGGGTGTTCTGAATGAAGCGTGTTCGTCTGGATTGCGCGCGCCCCATACGTTCTTTTGTATATACTTACACTAGTGCCAGATTAGGAATTAGGATCTTTAATGCTTTTTTAGTTCATGATTTCCCTTCTCAAGCTTTTATTTCCTTTCCTGTAAGCTTTCAAGCAATGGTATGAAGGTTTCGATATCCTCAATCTGGAGTCCCAGGGCTTTATCAACCGACTGCTCATTGGGGATGACATGTTTGGCCATAGAGCCAACTGGGCGCCTCGCCTAGCCTTCCAGTACTACAAAGAGTCTGTCAGCGATCAACCTTCATTCCTAAAGCAGGAGGAGTATTACACAACTGGTTTTGAGAAAGCCGTGAAGAACGAAGAGGAACAAATCAGATACATCGAGAAAAGCAGAAATGCGATGACGTCCAACAAACAAGCAGCCGACTCCGAGATACAAATGCTACCTGATACTAACGGTCCGCTGAGAACTACAGCTTACAAGATTGTGGCCTTTACTCCACTTTTGAAGAAGAAGCGTCAGGATATAAAGAACAAGATCAGCCAGATTGAACTCAGCACGAAGTTAGATCCTGAATTGATCATCGAGGGCATTGGAATGCTTATTACCGTTGACCCATCACGATCGGCGATCAAAGACTTCCTAGATTTCGGATACAAGCTTTACAAATCCACAACAATGGTCAAAGATGCCGACGGAAATGACGTGAAGAAGGAATACATCATTGAGCAATTGGCAGATGCAGGGGACAGCATGGAGTCCTTGGTAGAGGCATTACAAACCAATAAGCAAGACAACACAATCCAACTGGACGACCCCGGCGCCATGAAACTCATTGCATCTAACGATGGCATTAAAAAGATATTGAAAAACTTCAAGGATGCAATTCCAGAGAATCAGAAAAGAGAGCTAGAGGCTGACTTGGATGACTACTTGAAGACCGTTCTCACCCGAAACAACGCTGTCTTGGAGTATAACTCCAACGTTCTTTTGCTGAAAGAAGCACTCCAATCACGACAGTATGCCCAGGAGCAGATTGAAAATCTTGGACAGGTCGCATTGAAGATCAACCCAAGTCTTCCTGCGGTGGTGTTTTGGCTTCGGAAGATGAGGGACAGTCTGCGTTTGGTGATGAAATATCTCAACTATGAGAGTCGGGCCATCAGGTTCTGGGGTCTCCGAAAGGAGGTTCCGTTCGCCGCCCCCGGTCCATTGATGAACTATATTGCTCTACAAAACAATCAAATGCATCTTCAGAGTATGTTCGACGATAGTGTTGCCTTGTACAGCGGCAACATCCGGGTTGTTTGGCCGCGAAACAGTGCAGATGCAGGTCTGCGTTATAAACTTACTCAAGAGCAATTGAAGATCTTAAAGACGCTGGACAACGAGGGCCGCTATACAGTTTTCATTCCTTTGAACTTCCACAATTCCCAGGGAATCTTTGGGGACAGCATTGATGTTCGATTGCAAGAAGTTCGTGTGTGGGTTTTCGGTGCTGAGATTGCGAAGATCGATGAAACTGGACACCGAAAATTGACGATTCAAGTCACGCACCTTGGAAATGAGACTATTTATGATGAGGAGAAAGCCCCTTTCGACCTTGAGCATGATAGCACCGAGGTGCAATTTGCGTACCATGTGGATCTTGTCTCGTCTATCAGGGAAGCAAACTCGAAGGCAATCTTTAGTGCTAGAGGGTTGGAGCATGACTTTGTCCTTGGTGGTCAACCAGTCAAGTCTAGTCGAGCCCCACTGGATCCTTTTATAACTTGGAGACTACAGATCCGAGAGAAAGATGCGAATCCGGGCACTAAAATGCAGGGTGTTCATGAAGTGTGCCTGGAATTCCGGGGTTCAAACCGGTCCTCAAAATACAGTAACAACCCACGTGCCTAGGTGCAATACTTAGTTATGAATCTGATTATTGGCTAGTGTCCAAAGGTCAATGTCTTTCATACCACAATACTGCATTCTCATAAACTCTGGAAACGCTTGCAAACCTTCAAGAGGTCGGAACACCTTCACCTAGTACTCGTTAATTGTCTCTACCTGTGTTTCGGGCAGGCGTATCTACTGTTCTGCTGTCTCCTTGTATCTGGAACAATAAATTGCTTCGAAAAACGGTGAGCAGACGATCAAAAGTCTGATGGGAGTCGCCACCTTGTATAATATCTTATCTGTTCTAACAAGGACCTTTAATCACTTGCTTTAGACTGTACTATCTAGCGTCAACAGCCGTCCTTCTAGTTGAATAAACTACTTCCTGAATAAATACAGAGCTACAAATGGTACCTGGGCAAGGCTCGTAAACTTATACAGATACACTAGTATGAAATAGATGGCTGATACGGTGTATATGTCTGGGTTAGGGGTTAACTATAGTTTATAAGTGCCTGCCTCTACTCCCTAATCCTAACTAAGATCACCACCAGCTCGATGGATGTCAGATCTTGAAGCAGTCCCTCAATTTTATAACTTCCATACCATGCCAGGAGTGGTAACAGAAATTATTACAGAAAGGTTAGGGTTTCTAAACTTCCGCGTAATCTTACGGGAGAACTGCTTACTGAAGCCTCGCTACAGATTGCGAGTAATGAAATATTCTAATTTAGCCAGATAACCGTTCTCTTCAATAGGAGAAGAGCAAGGGAATATCTTATCTGTATATTAGTAGTAAGTAATTTTAAGAATACTTAGCTGTTAAGTATTGTTTGGTTTCTGATGTGGTTACCGTATTTAATATGTTTAAATCATCTAGGAGATTTGAGGCGCGTCGAAAACGCGTAGTGAACTCGGTCGTTTACCGATCACGTTAGTCAGTGTATCGGGAGCAAGTCTCTGCTACAAGCATTTCATTCTCCTGTTCATCATTCTACTTCTGCAATCATATCCATTTGTAATGTATAGAATTCTAGATCACAACATATTGAAATTATTACTATCTATTATCATCTTGTGGTGGAGGGTTCAGTCCCCCAGCATATACTGAGTAAATGGGATGCTCCCTCAACAGAATGTAACCGCAGCTCTATCGGCCCAGGGTATTGACACCCTTCAAAAGAGAAAGTAAAAGAACCTTGCAGTCTGTAAAGCCCAATGATAGCACGTATTCCACATGACGGGCAAACAACTCATGGGCTGATTGGCTTTGCAACATGGCCGTGGCACTCAAGAAGACCCTGTTTGTTCATCTGGACAGTAGGTTCTATTGGAAAATTAGAACAAGTTCCTGAACTGATTGCTACTGGCGGTAGAGGGAGAAACCGTCAAGATATACTTACCCAATCGAATTTGGGCTTTAGGGGCAAGACAGTGACAGTACAGTGTCCATGCCCCAGCGTGGGTTCCGGTACCACGAGTTTCTCCCCCTAGCTCACACTTCACGCATTTTCGGCTGAAGTGTCCACTGGATATCGATCATTAGCATAGTACGATCATTGACGCAAGAAATAACACGTACTTAGGCTCCGCCGACAATTCGCCCTTCAACAGGCTCGCACCGAAACAATGATTCAAGTCCAACTCGCCATGAATCAGCGAGTCCTTACTTCCATCGGCAAAGCACGTAGCCCTGAGAACATGTCCTTTCTTCAGTTCTGGCATTAGGCAGTTTTGCAACCCCTTCGAAGCCCCGTCTCCCGAGCTACTCTGCGGCTGGGTCTGACTTGTGGCTTGAGATGTCTCATTGGTCTTATCTTCTGCGGCTACAACTGATGCAAGAAGAAGAAGAGATAGTGTGGAGAATAACTTCATTTTGTAGGCGTGTTGAGGGGGTTGAACCTGAGTTGTGCTGTTCAATAGTGAAGGTGGAAGTTGATGATCCAGGACCTCGCGGTCCTTTTATGTCTATCAGTACCAGCTCCTCAAGGGTCTACATTTTCATACCCCGATCCAGAAAATGAAAACATATAGGAATGTATAAGATCATCGTCGCAGGGTGAAAGAGCCTTGGCACAGTGCCCTGTTGCCCCGTCTTTGTTATGCCGTCCAGGGGCTATAGCTATATACCCGGTAGGTCCCGTCACTATAGAGTTTCACAGTTGCTTATGTGTAGCTATCAAAGGTTTCATTGACAACTGCTATTGGATAATACTGCACAGGGAGGGCATTCAATTAAGCATCCCCACCCTGAGCTATAAGTATCAACCGCGGAACGATTTGGGTTCACGCCCAATTAGTTGGAACATAAGGGCCCATTTCCATTCAACCCGACTCGTATGACTCTAGGCATCCTTCATATTGCCCCGCCGCTGCAATGTATCTCCCACTCTCCCGGGCCTACCCACAATGCTTTCCGAGTTCCAGGCGTCCAGCCTACCGGGCTGACTTCCTTGGCACGGTCTATTCTCCACTGAGCCGAGATGGGGGAAACGCGCGATTATATTCCCAGTAGATAGAAACAAAGACAGGTAGACTCTTATACTACAAGCCAAGCACCGATATATGTGCCCAGGGGGTGTACCTACCCCACAATAGTCAATCCGTTCCATCTTTACACTGATCAGTCTACCTTCACCTCAGACACACGCTTTGACAGCATCGCACTTTTTCCGGTACAACAGAATTCAGAACTACAGGACAAAAGAAGACACAGCTATCGCGGTTTTGTAGTCCAATATCTTTCTTTTCCGAAGCAAGGGGCGCCAGTTTTATCCTCAACGCAGGGGATGGATCTCGGGCGTGATGCGTCGCTGAACCCAATCTGGGGACCACTGTAATCATGGTGGTTTCTTTAGACCAGCTCTGCTCTTGGTGCAGCTGGAATTGTGTTCCTCTCCAATTCGTCCGACCGCGGGACACGCACAGTGCCAGACTTAACAGACCCCGGCGGTTGCAAATATAACCCAATTATAACAGCTCAAGATAGTTTAGACCCAGGGGTACGATGTGAACTTTAGCATTGCCATCACCTTACTAACATAGTCAACACGATGGCCAGCAGCGGTCAGGTCAGGACAATAAGCAACCCGTCACGTGTACTTAGCTAAAGCCCGTCAGTTTTACCCCATACCTAACACAGCCAAACCTGGGGGTGCGGGTAAATACGTTTCCGCTTCGGAATTATACTTACCCGCAGTCTGCTTCACCGATCATTGTACACTTGGGGTAATTATCTCTCTTCTTCATTTTTCCCTTGTGTTTGTTTACAAGGGAGGCTGTGTAGATCTAGAATGAGCTTACTCATTGACAGCATTCATGGTTGGTTTGACCGGCTTCGACACGAGCAGTTGAATACCAGGTCACGGGTTGTCCATTTCCTTACCATTTCGGGCGACCTGGGAGTGTTCCTGCATTTTGGATCACTTTTTACATATACATTGGTCATGTGCTATGTGCTAGAAATAAAGGTTTATTACTGACAGAAAGCGGAATACCTGATTTGCGATGAGTGTTTGAGGAAATACACTGTATATATTTCTAGCGCATACTCCAGTCATATTGTCATGAATAAACGGTTAGAGAAAAAGAAATTTTTGTTTCACTGTCAACCTCGTACTTACTTACTATACATATGGCTAGAGAAGATAATAAAAATAGCCCTAAATTACTGCATGGTTTCTTGAAGACGTTGTCTTTAAGTGGATGTTGCTCATGCGGGTACTATTAGGCGACCATCTCAACACGCTAAGCCTTCCCATTCCCCGTTGACGTACGATTAGACTTGCTAAATTAGGCTACAATACCTTAAACTTGTTAGTGCTGCTGGAACTGAGGTACGCATAATCCACCCAACCCGATTTCTGGTACAGGAGCAAAAGGACAAATATGACCTCCTATGCAGCTTTACTCCGGTGACCGTTGATAGATTTCAAACGATCTACGGACATTATGTGCGGAAATGATTGAGTTCCACTATGGGATCCACGTGGAGGTCTAGTTCAGCCCTAGAATCTTTCCTCACATGGATTGAACTTCACACCGATCTTGGTACGGAGACCAGTGACTTGGCCGTGCGTCATGCAGGTAAGGCCCTGATGAAGACAGTGAGTAACGGTACCACATTTCTCCCGGGATGGAGCCTTTTTGTTCAATAAGAGACCCATGATGCTGCGATGTGTGGCCTTCCGGGCGTCCAGCAGCGACGCCATACGTAATACGAGTGCCGTGAGACTGAGAACAGAGAATATTGGATAGACGGTGATTGTTGTTATCGGCAGGGATGCTAATCTACCACAGAGAGTTTATATAATTCATTCTACTTCCTCCTCACAAAGAAAATTCCAGGAGATTGAATCAGAACTAATGATCTCGGGTTTGCAGGGGATAGTTGGAGAACCCCCCCCAAAAAAACAGAAAAGAAAAGAAAGTAAGACTTGCTGTCTGAGTTTCCGAGGTTTTTCGCCAGGAGATATTGCAAGTTCTAGAGGTGGTATAAAATGGTGAAGGAGAAGATCAAAATAGAGCTCCTTCGAGTCCTAGTAGGATGGGGAATAGTACGATGGATAATAGACTGCAAATCTGCAATAAATAACAGCAAAGACGACGATGACAACAATTCTTGGGTAGGCTACATCGTAAAGGAAGGGTGTTGACGACTGTGATACTCTAACAAGTGTAGGGTTAATCGCGGCGATCACTCTGGGGCTAGTTCAAGCTGGTGGGGTGGCCGGCCTGAGGCAGCGATGCATTGCCGCCTGCGATTGCCGTTCCCCGCGTTCGGGTGATCTCAAACTCCGTCCTTTCTCCGGACCAGACATCTGTAAGTAGACATCATGTCGGCCAGTCTTCCTCTCTTTCTTCGCTCTAATCGATGTTCTCGTCGACTTTTCGAGCCATACCGGTTTCTCGCACTATCTCTCGCGCCTTCTCCCAGTCAATCACCCCCAATATGAAGCACCATCTTATGGTCGGTACCTGGACTCCTCCAGGCCGCATCTATACTGTCGCATTTGATGATGAGGCACTTACCCTGGACCTGGTCAAGAAGACCGACATTCCAGAGGCTGAGCCCATCTCTTGGATGACCTTCTCCGTATGTCTATCGGTCTCGACATGTTTCAATTGACATTGTCTGACTCAATTGCTATAGCACGACAAAAAAACGATTTACGGCGCGGCCATGAAGAAGTGGAACAGTTTCGCCGTCAACAGCTCCACCGATATTGTCCACCAAGTCTCCCACCCAGTTGCTGGTCACCGTACGTCGCAATTCTTTGTGGAAAGCCCTCTGCTATTGGAAGCGGTATTCTGACTCCTTACAGCCCTTGCTGCCAACGACGACACCAATACCCGTGCCATCTTCGTTCTTGCCGCACGTCAAGCCCCTTATGCTGTTTATGGAAACCCCTTCTACAACTATGCTGGATATGGAAATGTCTTCTCGGTTGAGTCTGACGGCCGTCTCGCCAAGAACATCCAGAACTACGAATATGAGCCGAACACCGGTATTCACGGCATGGTCTTTGACCCAACCGAGACCTACCTCTACTCTGCCGATCTGTCGGCGAACAAGATCTGGACCCATCGCAAGGATGCAACAACAGGCGAATTGACCCTGGTGGATTGCATTGATGCCCCCTCGCCGGATGACCACCCCCGCTGGGTTGAGATGCACCCGAGCGGGAAGTACTTGTACGTGCTGATGGAGGCGGGTAACCGATTGGGCGTATACGTCATCGATGAAAAGCGCCATGTGCCCGTCTTTACGCATATCACCTACCCATTGCTCCCTCCAGGCCTTCCCCCTCGCAACAAGTATCGCGGCGACGTCACCTTCACCACCCGCAGTGGTGAATATCTCTTTGCGACCACGCGCAGCAACCACTTCGATGTCACAGGCTACATCACGGCCTTCAAGCTAGGCCCGAATGGCAACATCGAGCGACAGTTGTTTATCCACCCGACCTCGACCAGCGGTGGACACTCTAATGCGGTCAGCCCTTGTGATTTCAGCGACGAGTGGCTGGCGCTGTGCGACGACCAGCTGGGATTCGTCGAGATCTATCGATTCCGCGATGAGAATTTGGCTCGTGTCGCACGAGTAGATATCCCTGAAAAGGGATTCGGCATGAATGCCATCTGGTATGATTAACGGTTAAACGCAAAGCTTATAAAATAATGCAATGATAGAATAGAATGTTTATAAAGATTCCGATTCCTTCTTCCATTAAATGCGTCTGAAAGCCAGATTCCAGGAGCAGTATCCCAGGTTAGACGGGATGTCCAAATATGGAAGGAGCCGTTGAATATCATCCGGTTTTAGATACGGGAGACGACGGCCTGCCGCTTCATTCAGAAATAGACCATGAATAGCCTTGCACATACCTTCAGATCTGCCTTGGCGGACGTATCAGCCAGGGATATAGAACGAGGGCCATGGTTCAACACGTCAAGTGATTCCATAGACTCACTGAATCTTGCATAAACAGTTGTGTTACTATTTCCAGCACCGCCTTGAATCTACATTCACAAGAATCTTTTTGTGGTCGTTTTCAAAATTAAAGTGGAAGATAAGATAGGCAGGAAGGATATTCTAGGCACAAGTCTCAGCACCTGGCCTTCGCTCGATGCTGCTCTGTACAGGATACGTCCTTGAGATATACTTGGAATTTTATGGGCATCAAACGAGTCTGGTTGAACTCTTATCACGTCATTTTACATCCCCATGCACGTCAACACAAGTCTTAGGTAATTAGCCAAGATGAGGACCCGGGAAATGCCTGTTATGCTATATCGCACAAGGCCTGCGTGACATAAATAACTCGCGTGGCAAGTCGCGATCTATATAAAACAACCGTTCATCCCCTGTAATCGGTGAAAAGCAAGACGTTCCTCTATGCAGGCAATACTGATTCCACAATATCTTCAATGACCACATCGTATACAGCTGCTTTTCCTTTCGATCGAGGACCTCGTCACCCTATTAGGCCGGTGCACCATTCATATGACCCAGTACCCACAACATCAGACTCCCCAAATCACGATCTCTTTGACTTTCTTGCCAAAGCCGCCAAGGATGACCCAGCATTGCACAGGTCTTCTTTTTGCCTTAACCCCGAAGACCTGGGCGTATCATGGCAAACATTCTTTCCCGCTTGTCGGCAAAGTCGACAGTGGCGAGAGGCAGAGGACGCTGCACAAGAGCTGACAGATAGGCTCTTTCGTGCGAAAGGCTCGTCCGGGAGTAGCCTTTGCAAGCACTGGAGAGACTTGGCAGAGATTCTCCAAGTGGTTGAGACAGCTGTTGGATGTACCGTGTACATGTATCCGAGAGCCGATTTGGTCAGAATCCGACTCTTAGCTCAGCTACATGTCGTAATGTGGATTCATGATGGTATCGTCACTATGCAACTCCAGACCAGATCTTCGTTAACCAATCAACAGATGTACCGCGTATTGCTAAATGCCACCAAGTAAGGTCTCAGTGACATAACACACGCAAGTCTACTAAGAGCATTACAGGAAGAGCTCCAGCAAGGCCGAAGGTCTCCTGCGACGCCTACTCGAACGAGTTGCCATGAAGGTTCAAGTCCCATATGCCGCCTAGTTTCCAGTGTTCTGCAGGATATCCTTCAAGCGGACCCTATTATTGGATTTGAAGTCGCAGCGGGGGCTTTAAAGTGGTATCGGAGGTCCCGAGCCCACTGCTCTCGAGACCAGGGCAATTGCCGACCCACGACCATATCAGATTACCTTGAAGCAAGTGTTGGAGATGTTACTACGGAGTACGCTCGAGTCAAGCATTTTGCCGTTTATGGACACTGATGATTTCAGCGTCTATCTTGCCATGATCCGCTTCGCGGGATCAATCCACCTCACCTCTAGGCAAAGCCAAGATCCTATACTGAACAATATAGTGAATATCTGGTCAAAACACAGAATCATCGTCAAGGATCTCTTTTCATATGAGAAAGACTGTCTCGAGCATCAGGTTAACGACTCCGCAATCGTCAACGCCGTACAGGTCTTACAAAGCGAGTTCAACGTATCTCCCGCAACGGCGAAAGAAGTTGCGCGTAATATCCAGCTGGATACGGAACGAGAAATGCACGCACTTTACAAAGAGATCCTGGGTAGGACAGGCAATGGCAGCCCGGAGGCCCGATATGTTCGGGCGCTTGTCGAAAGTCTAGCCGGAAATGTGTTTTATTCCTCCACTGCGGAGAGAAATGCTATGCCTTTACTAGGTAGGTCTGCTGAGGAGAATGAGTCCTGATGCACTGTTGTCTACAGAAAGTTCATGGTGGAGTATGGAAGAGCTAGCTTCGGTAGAAATGACAGTACATCTGTATTGCTGCGGGTCTGTTGAAACCTCGCAGATCTGAGTCGGTGATGTACTTTTGAATACCACGATACATAAACAGTAGCTTATTGAGAATTACCGTGTCGACTATTCGATCTCGTACATTGCCTGGGAGAAGCGCCGATACTGAATCAAATGTCTTGGAATTAGACGGCCATTGCCGCAAACGGCTGTATGTATGCCTGGACAATAAGGTACCTGTGCTGCATACTCGTGTTTTGCCTGGAACACCAGGCATCAAATCTCGAATCCCGTGCTTGCCTCGATAATTTATGAACCACCACCACCAACATTTTTCTAGATTTTGTCGTCTTCCCTTACTCGAGGTGTTTCTGGATAGCATCACAACTTGACACGTTGTATATATTTCTCTTCCAAAAAACGGCCAATCCTTTATTAAGCATGAATCAAACCCCCAATTTCCGGCTTCGAATTGATCGCCTGCTTCCCGATGACTTCATCCGCCAGTGTTCGGCTATCTGGTCGGCAGTCAATCGGCCTCTCCCTGATCCGGGAATGTGCCCACGGCGATACAAAATGATATTGCCCCCGCGATCCCGGTCGAACCCCTCCTCTCCAGACTGGTTAAGGATATTGATTTGAATTGGACCATCATACACAGTGAGAAATAACCCACCATGGCGACTCCCGGCCTTCTTTACGTGACGATGCAACCCCGCGATTCCCTCCCCGCGGCCCAGTTCCACGACTGGTACAATACCGAACATGGTCCCCTACGCCTCCGTCTGCCCTTTGTCACTAATGGCTTTCGCTATCGTGCCGTCGACGGCATTGAGCCCGAGTGGGTGGCTCCGTACGACATTACCGACATGGTGGAGCTGACGCGCGAGACCTACTTGGCTCTCCGTGGGGATGGTGTGAAGACCCCACGCGAAAAGGCCACCATGGCCCAGATTGACGTTGATCGTCGCCTTTATGATCTTCTCCATGATCACAAAGACGCCGATTACAAGCCTCTCGAGGAGATACCCGACACTGAAGCCGCCGGCTCGGTACTTGTCTCTGCCTTGGTCTCCGTTCCCGCCGATAAGGAAGAGGACCTCAAGAACTGGTATTCTGAAGAACACTTCCCTATGCTAGCACGTGTGCCGGGCTGGCGTCGCAGCCGCCTCTTTGCCACATCGTCGATCGACCCCAAAGCACCCCGAGAATTCCTATGCCTACATGAGTACAGCGCGATCAACGGCTTGGGGGGCCCTGAACACAAAGCTGCGATGGATACTCCGTGGCGCAACCGCCTGATGAATGACCCTGCTACGAGCAAGAAGCGCCGTGTGTACCAGTGGGCTTATACATTCGGCCCAGCACCACGCGAATTGTCTTCCCTGACCTCCAAGGATGTTGTCGGACCTTGGGCTTCCAACGACGGTCGCACCAGAACGCTTCCTTCGGCCACGCGCCCGGCCGTCGAGTCGTTTATCACCACTCCGGACGGTGTAGATCTCCCATACCGCCTCGAGGGCAGCACCGATCCCCATAGCCCTGTCATTGTCCTTAGCAACTCCATCCTCGTCGACTATACCATCTGGGACAGCTTCGTGGATGCCTTTTTCTCCAACCCCAAGAACCAGAACTTCCGGATCCTCCGGTACCTGACCCGTGGCCGTCTCCGCGAGTGTGGGGAGAAGCCCATCAATATTGATCTTCTGGCATCGGATATCATCGCGCTCCTCGATGCTTTGCGGATCCCCAAGGCGACTCTGATTGGTGTCAGTCTGGGTGGTGTGACCGTTCTCAACACGTCGTTGCTGTACCCCGATCGCGTGACCCGCTTCATTTCCTGTGACACAAATAGCTCGGCGCCCGAATCCAACCGCAAGGCCTGGAATGATCGCGTGGCCATGGCCGAAAGCGACGGTGCAGTGTCCGCCACCACTCAGGAGCCAATTATCGGTGAGCAGTTGTCCGAAGTCACCACCCGTCGGTGGTTCGTGCCTGAATCATACGAGACCCAGCCGGAAGTTCCCGCGAAGGTGAAGGAGATCGTACGCAACAACAGCCTGGACGGTTTCCGCCAAGGCGTGCAGGCACTCTGCGCATATGATGTCCGGGACCGCATGGCTCAAGCACAGGTGCCTGGGTTATTTGTCGCCGGCGAGGGAGACGGTGTACTGCCGAAGACAATGCAACAGATGGCAAACGATTTGAAAGGTGGCGCCGAGCTAAAATTAGTTCCCAAGGCCGGGCATCTGCCTATGGTCGAGCAACCAGCGGCCTTCGCTGAAATTGTCAACGGATACCTACACGCATAAATAGTCAATATGAAGCATTTTCTCGATCGTTCCAATACTGTTCATTTATCGTATCATATTTGGCTAAACCCGGTGATAACTCTAGGAAATATATATATATAATGAAAAATAAAAAAGATTAACATAGGCTAGCAGTGTTCCCTCACCGTCTGGGATGTACTCGTCTGCGTGACCTCAAATGTCTGATGAATGCCCAATCCCATGTCGCCCCCTACCGCCGGCAACGCAGGCGATCCCTGAGCCGTTAAGCGTTCCTCGCTACTATTCGGACTCGATCCCCCATGCCACGACCCATTCTGGTCCTGGCTTTGCACCGTCGTCACCGTAATCGCCAACTTATCCGGCCTCAGCCGGTTCTGGGCGCTCTCATCCAGCGACCCCAACGGATAGGGTCGATCTCGGCTGGCACCACCGGGAAGTCGAGACCCGGATCGACCGGGAAAGGGAGAGGGATATGTAGGATCGGTGCGTGAACCGAGCCAGTGACGGAGGAGCGGACGAAGGGTAGCGAGACTTCCAGCCGTGATACCAAGGCCAACTTCGATATTGGACCAGAGGGCGATTTCGACTGTTGCATCTGTTTTCCATGTCCATGTTAGCCATTGTACCCCGGTATATCCACGTCAAAAGGAGACAGGGAACCTACAAAGAAAGTCCGGGTCGTTGAATGTATGAACAAAGGGTATACGGATAATGACAGCAGAAGAAGCACTGCACCAGTTAGCATCATTCCACTCTCCCCAGAGTCCCAAGGATCCACCTACATGCAAGCCATACTCAAGATCCCGACCACCGCAAGCTTCGTCTGTCTCTTCATATGCAAGTCCTTAACCAGGAAGATAGGCAAGATGGCCACGGTGAAATCGCAGATCACCGCGAACGCACTGTAGACATACGTCATGGCGATAATGATCGTCATATTGAGACAATGACCCTCAATATTCGGGTCGAAAGCGACCTTAGTCCAGAAATACTGCAGCGGCTTACACTGCAGGAGCATGAGGAACATGAAGACGAGACCGGCGATAACTGTCAGGATCATCACGATATAGAGCGACCATATATGCTCCCGTTTGACCGTGATGCGCATCAGGAAGATGCAGATGGAGATTTTGCCGCCGACGGAGGCGAAACAGTACGCGATTTCACATAGCCACCAGTACTTTACTTTTCATGTTAGTCTGTGTCGGGTTCGATAGGAAGGGAAGAGTGATGGTGGTGTGTATATACCCTCATGGCCGTCACTCGCTGCACCGCCGTCAGATCTTTGTATTTTCGCCCGGTACCCCATAAACTACCTCCGATCATACAGGCGGAAAACATCACATAGAATAACTATCATGATTTGGTTCTCTTGGTCAGCCATTGCTTTCTTCTTCTTTTTTTTCCCCTCTTTTTTTTCACGGGAGTGTTGCGACGAGACTAACCAATGCAACCACCATTGCCCCGTCATCCCAGCCGAATGCCTTCACTAACCATCCTCGCACGTAACATCGCAGGATCACCGTGACGACTGCCACCGACATGAAGGCGGCCGCAACCGCCCTGACTTCGACACTGCGGTCATCCGCATGGTCCATGTCGATGATGAGGTCCGGACATGGCCAGTAGAGGTTGTGGGGACAGGCCTGGGGGCAGACGATATTATATTACATTGTTAATATTAGGAGAGATCTGGAGACATTGAGCTTGGCTCGGTTCCAGCTTTCCTATTCTAGAGCCACTACGAATTAATCTAGCTGGTTGGCGCAAAGGGGGAAGAGGGACTAAAAAAATAAAAGGAACTGGGCATTAGTAGTCGTAGGCTATGGC